GAAGCCTCCCAGATCTCCAGATGCATTTGAGATATCAAAAAAGTACTCCAGAGTGTTGTTCAGCATGGGGGTGAGTAGAAAATTAAGGCTCATGTTTTGGGTGTACTATTCCTTTAACAAGCAGAAGTCAAGTATATGAAGTTCATTTAGTACAATGATTCAGACGGATTGAAGTTAATTGCTCTCATTTCAATGTAATCTTAGTTTTAACACAATGCATGTTTTTTTGGGGGGTTTTTTGTGCGTTTTGTTGGTCAGTCACATAAAATCCCAATCAAATATTTTCCGGTTATAATGTAACCAAATATGAAAATGTTGAAGAGGGGTGAATTTTTCTGCAAGATACTGCAGCTCAAAAACACAAAAGACAAACAACAATAATGTTGTTAAATCCTGCCACTTTCTCATTTATTCTCATTTACTTTTACAGGAATAATTACCAAATGTGTTTTGGTGTATGATCTGAGGTAACCAACTTTATAATTCTTTGTGTTTTTTTGGCAGGCGTCATAAGTAATTGGACAAATGAGACTCGTATTCCTCCCTGCACCATCTTCCAAGCTTTTCAGTGCTTTCTGGACATTACTACTCCACCGACCCCTGTGCTGCTCCAGCAGTTTGCTGCTCTGGCAACCAATGACAAACAGAAAAGAAAACTAGAAATCCTCAGTAAGGTAAATTTAGATGACACTCGATTACTTTCCTCATGGAATTCATTACAGAAATACCATTTCCCAGCATTTGAACTGACTTTTTAAAGGTATTCTTATCTTTAACCACCTAAACACATGTAAAATTGTGGCATTAACATTTTAGATTTTTCCTACCTCTTCAATTCATAGCTCTTTAACATTCACCATGTGCTTAAGCCGCAACAGTAACTAACCCCCTCATTATGTTTGCTAAAATATGGGAGATTGTTTTCAATGTCTGAAAGCGGATTTGATGCACTTTGCACCGTTGAAAATGTGTACAGCAGGAGTTACCAGGAGCGAAATTAGAGCTGCTGATTGCTGTAACCCAGAAGTCCTTCCCCCATTATGGTGCCTCCCACAAGTCGCCCTCCATTTTTGTTGTGTGAAAAAGGCTGGAGGAGGCCAAGCAGTGACTCATGTGTAGAATCACTGTCACTAAAGTGAGAGGAAAAGATGAAGGCCTTCTAAATTTGGAAAATAAAATGGCACAGTACAGTCGGCACTGCAGATACTTCTTTGTTTTTAGTCTCATTGAGTATCAAAGAGCTCTTACAGTCGCTATGTTATGACTGATTACTTGCCTGTCTACCTATTCTTAAAACATGACTGAACCTGTGGAATGCTTGAAATAATGTTGCTTCACAAAAAGGCAAAGCTCTGTATTTTTTCAAGGTGGCAAAGCCAAAGTGATAAAAATTGTAATGCTCTTTGTGGTAAGGGGTTCTTGTAAAAAAAAAAAAAAAAAAAAGATGATTTTGAGGGATAAGATTAAAAACTGCAAAAAGAATAAATATTTCATTTGGTCTTAATGTTTTACTGTTTGCACGGACATACTGCATACTGTATAAAAGACTTTAAAAAAGACTTTCTTCTAAAAGGTTTTTAACGCAGCTTATTTTTCCCTTTTTGACAATGCAGGGTTTGCAGGAATATGAGGAATGGAAGTGGTACAACAACCCTACACTAGTGGAGGTGCTGGAGGAGTTCCCTTCCATCCAGATGCCCTCAACTCTGCTGCTCACTCAGCTTCCTCTGCTGCAACCCCGCTATTACTCCATCAGCTCCTCTCCTGACCTGTATCCAGGAGAGATTCACCTCACAGTGGCTGTGGTCTCTTATCGTACCAGAGGTGAGAATCTACCAGTAACTTAAAGCTTTATTTAAGGTTGAAGGTTTGTCCCTCCTAATATTATAAAGCTGCTTTTTGGTTATGTTTTTTTTCTTCCTATTGACTAGACATAAAGGGATAGTTTAGGTCCCTGGGCTTAAGTTCCTTTCAATTGTCAGAAATGTTTACATTTTACCTTTATTAGCTGGCTTTTTCAGTATCAGCATCCATAATTGCAAATTGTTGCAAACGGCTAAAGATGAAATAGTTTGTTTAAATGCACATGGTATATGTTAATGGATTGCTATGATTGTATGACTAATCCCTGTATTGCAGGGATTTTTTTTTCTTCAGTAAGTGAAAATAAGAGAAAGCTTCGGCCTTGTAGGCGTGTTGGGGCCGTTTTTTTCCTGTTAGTTTGGGCACTTAAAATGAGTGGGAGCAGGTTGTAGAGGGAAAAGGTAAACTGATTGCTTGGTGATCATCTTTTTCAGGTGGGCAAGGACCTCTCCATCATGGAGTATGTTCATCATGGCTGAACAGGATAGAGAAAGGAGAGATGGTGCCATGTTTTGTCCGAAGGTGATGATCAAAAATGAACTTTGTAAAACCTTATCACAAAATCCTTGCCACTTTCTGTACGTTGGAAAAAAAATAAAAATTCTGGTGGAACTTTAGCCACATTTCCTCCCGTTCCCCAGCTGGTGTACATTATTCTAATCTTTTTTATCGGTTTATGGTGTTTGATAGTATCAATAAAATTTAGCTAGGTATGAGGTTTTAGTTTTTAGGACATGGTATGGAATTTAATTTACCCAAATTTCATATCAAATCCATTGTTACATCTCAAGTGTTGACATTTTTTAACTTATTTACAATAAGAACTCAATCTAGTGTTGGATCTTCATATAATGTTAGTTTTGTTTTCTAGAAATGGTTGCTCTAGCAATATTCTGGGAATTGAGAACGAATTTGTAAAAGCTCAGCCTTTCATACCGGAGTGCTTCTATAAACAGGACATACTAACCATCAAAAACAGAATAGAAATACATGTATATGTTGGTGCACTGGAAGGGTCAGCATTAGGAACAGTTCAAGTTTTGCTTTTTCATCCCATGATGCTTGCAATAATAATAATAATAATAATGATAAAAGTGCAGTTGACAAAAGTGCTCCAAAAGGTATCCTATCTTAAGATTTTAAAATAAACTTATTTTTTAAACATATTTTCACATGAACAATAAAAGTAAGCATGACACAAAGTTAGCTAACATTATGCAGCCTAGCTTTTCCTGACCATAAATGTTTTTAATGATGATCTTCATTTATGCAGCCCTGATATACAGCTTGGTTTATGCTGTTTTTACAAGGAAAATTATTAGTTACTGTAATGTGCTGAAACCTGTTGACATGGACAGTTATAGAGTTATAGAAAACATAGTTTTAGGTGCACACTACATTGAATTTAACCACATAATTTACAAGATTAGGTCAAATTAATTTGATAGCACTGGTCATTAATGCTCAGCAGAGTCAGGGTTTATATATCTTGGCTCTTTGTAGAGCAAAACCTGTCAACTTTCAGTGGAATGTTTAATCTTATCATGGGCGTTGCCTCTTGAATTTCTGCTTCTCCATGGCTTTAAATCAAAGTTCATAAATTGTCAAAGGATAACCCTATGACTGCTTATTGTCGGTGTTAGAAGACGGGACTTGAAGATATTTGACTTCCTAAGGGCTTCCTTAAACAATTGCGATACCTTAATAGACTGAGTTGAGCCATCGATAAAGGTTACACAAGCAACACATATTAGTTACCGTTGCATGGTGTTTGATACCTGTTCTTTGCCATCTATTCCAGATGTTTTTTACTTGGTGCATTTAAGCACAGCCATGTAGTCAAAGTGCATCCAATTAATAAAACAGTTATGGGTTTGTTTTAGGTTTACAGCACTAGTGGCTCATTTTTATGGACAGTAGGCTGACAGAAACAACTTTCATTTCCCAAAGAGGTGGCCGGTGCCCATGTACACCATTATGATTATCCAGCACATCATCTGTCTTTTTATACATGTAATACTCCAAGGTTGACGGGAAAGGAAGAGCAACAATGTTGTAGCCTGTGGTTTTATTCCTCTGCTTGTTCTACCTGCAAATTCACACCTAAAATTGCTATCTGCCTGCACAAGCTCTAATGAAATATAACAGCCAGAGTGCAAAATAAATTTGATATAATCTAATTTGCAGGGTGGGGGTTTACACTGTAGTTCATCTTTTGTCTATTCCTAAATAGAGCACTATTTAATGACACCAATGGGAGATGTTATCAGTTCAGTATAACAGATTTAGAAGCAAAAGCATTAGGTTTTAAGTTCTCTAAAAGTGTAAAAATTTGTGTATATTATTGCTAAGGACTGTTAATCTCCACTTGTGATGACTTTCACTTTGTGCAATACCACCTTTCATTTCTATCCTTTCTGACATTTTAGCGCACCATCATTCCAACTTCCCAAAGACAACAAAGCACCTTGTATCCTTGTGGGCCCGGGAACAGGCATTGCACCATTCAGAAGCTTTTGGCAGCAGAGACAGTATGACCTTGAGCAAAACGGTAGGTTTTTGTTTTTACCAGAGTTTGAGTTTATTTAAAAAGGGACAATGCATATTAATGAAAGTATACATTTTTTGTTACACAGATTTTGATTTACAGTTAATTTACATTTTTAGTAAGATTGGCAGGTTGAGTCAACAACATAAAATAATAAAATCAATAAAACGATAACAACAAATAAAGTAAGCCTTCATGGCTGTGGGGAGTATATTTAGGTGGAGAAATTACAGAGGGGGATCACAGAAGAAAAAAAATTTACTGGTATCAGTAATTTTGGAAAAGCTCTCTATAATCTCCTGCTAAAGAGACTGAATAGATACTATTGTAAAATACAATTTTCAGTATTGCATTAAAAGCAAGTTATTTCTGATAAAATATCTGCATTGTACCATGTACAAAGTCCAATGTTTAGCAGCAATCTAACTCTTGCTTTTAAGGGATTAAGTCGTGCCCCATGATCCTGGTGTTTGGTTGCCGACAGTCTGAGATTGATCACATCTACAAAGAAGAGACTCTCCAGGCCAAGAACAGAGAAGTGTTCAAAGAGCTTTATGCTGCTTATTCCAGAGAGCCTGGCAAACCAAAGGTAAAACCACCAAAGGACTTGGTGCAGAACATTTGTCGTTGACTTTGATCATTTGATAAAATCTTGATTTTAGTCATCTGATTATTAATTTTTTTTATGTAAACCATGGTTGAAGGATTTCATCTTGTTAGTTTTACCAAACATCTACTATTTGTCCTTCGTAATTCTCAGATTATCGCAGATTTTTCCATCAATGTTTTCTCCTAACTGTTCCAGAAATATGTACAAGATGTATTACGCGAGCATCTGTCAGAAACTGTTTACCAGTGCCTGAGAAAGGAAGGTGGGCACATCTACGTGTGTGGAGATGTAACGATGGCTGGAGACGTTCTGAAGACCGTCCAGCAAATCATCAAACATGAGGGTCAAATGAGCATAGAAGATGCTGGTTTCTACATCAGCAAGCTTCGGGTAAGAAGCAACCCTCTGCAGGGTAATAAGCTTTTACAAGGTTGTTTCTTCTGTTCTGGTTGTTGGGATCCACAATAAGCAATTATTCCTTTTTTTCTTTAGAGAAAGCAGGGCTGCAGTAGAAAAATGTAACTAAGTAAAAATTATTCTTTAGAATAACGTAACTAAAGGGCAAACACAAAATGGTTTCTAAATCCAGTCCTTTTGGTACAATTTCTTTTAAAATAAATGAAATATTATATATACATGTAGGTTGCATTTTGTTCAGTGAAGTCAGTTGCTGTTTAAATGCTTTTATTTTCCCTACGTTTGTTTATTTTTTATAATCTTTGCTATGTTGTCTGTTAGGATGAGAACCGGTACCACGAAGACATCTTTGGTGTCACTCTGCGCACCTATGAGGTCACAAATCGGCTTCGGTCAGAGTCCATCGCCTTCATTGAGGAGAACAAAAAGGACTCAGATGAGTACGTTCAGTTCAGAATTAAATATTAAATGGGAATATTTATTTAGATTTCTAAATAAACAAGTCAAATCTGTGATTGAAGCTATGATGTCTTTTAGTTGTGCACATAGTGTTTTGGTACAACTATTTCAGTCACTAGAAAATGAAAACTGGATTTGAAACTTTTCCCCCAAAGCTGAAGATTGAAGTTTTTTGAGATAAATATTTTAATTCCAGCCATGTTATTGTTTGTGCCATTTTGTCACAATTGCTACTTAGTTTTCATTGCTATTTTATATCTAACGGTTTCAATGACTGCTGGTCTGATTGACTAAAACAATTAATTTAGTGCCCCTGAGTGCTGTCACTTAGTCATGTAAGGAACCTGCTGACTTTAAAAGAAATGTAGTTTTAAAATATCATGCCGTAAATTAAACACAAAAATACATCCCATATAAATAAAATTTTTCCTGTTGATTCAGTATTAGATTTTTTTGGTTGTTTTCATGTATATTATTCATGATAACCTTAAGTTAACAAAATCGTTTGACTGCATCACCATATTTACAGTATTCGTATCAATATTCATTGTGTTCCACTTACAAATCCACACCCTTTTATATACAGATATGCAGACCAATAGTTAACATTTAGTTAATAGTTCATTTAGATTTGTCAGTAAACCTAAGGGTCATGTTTTTGGATTGTGAGAGGAAGCCGAAGTACCCGGAGCAAACCCCGTATGGTCAGGAAGACCATGAAAACTCCATGCAGAAGGACCCTTGGGTCAGGAATCTAACCCAGGTCCTTCAACCTTTTAATGCTATGTTCACGACTAACTCGATAAAAGCAGCTGGTTTAAATGCTAAGTCAATAGTCTATGCGCATCAAGGCGCTTCAAAAGGTCCTGCAGCGCTTCTAGAGTTGCAGGAGCAGTGCAACTTGATGAAACTGAAGCAGCGCCTCATGGGCTTCTGAGCATCTAAAGTGCGTGATGCGCTTCACAAACAGCAGATGCTGGAGTTAGAAAAATTTAACTTTTACTGCTCGACGTGCCACATCAACCAATCAGAGAAGCTGATTTGGGAGGGAGACAGACACAGCTCTGCTGATGCAGAGCACTCCCCTGTAACAGTTTATTAATGGCTAAATTAACTTTAAGGTCGATACCTTCCAGCAAAATATGTTGGCTGATATTATTCTGGTGCCTGCAGTTGAAAAACCTTAACATCTTATTCACAACCCCATGAACATTAGCTGAATCCCCGCAGCTCCCGCTGGAGATTCCCAATGACGCTGCACAGCCGGTATGTCAGGGACAGACGACGTTTTGAGGTGGACTTTCTCACTTAAAAACATATTAAAAGTACTTTTTACCCACCGATTCCAGCTAATATAGAAAAGTCGCTCTTTGCCGTTGAACACAGGAGCATCAGACGCATCTGGACATACTTTAATGGACATGCTTCAGGAGCGTCAAATATGCCCTTGACGTGACTCTGACCTTAATGTGTAAGCATAAAAAAATTAAGCAGTAGAAGTGCATCCCGTGTGAACGTAGCATAAGGCAAAAGTGCTACATAGTGTATCAGAGAGTAATCATCTAATTAAATGTTAGAATACATTTTTTTGTTTTTTGAACATTTCCCTTGTTGAATTTTTGACAGAACAGCAGGTTAGTATGGATTGTAAAGCATAAATCCAATGAGATAGATCTCAATGAGATTATCATTTGCTATTAGTTCAAGACAATTTCGATCTGCATCCTGGAGTTGTTTGGCAGCAGCGTGTTGTCACCCCAACATTCAGATGAAAACAGAGTGGGTAACCATAGAAACGTGTGGAGGGAGGCCTTTAAACCAGCAGGATTAGAGTGAATGCGGATGGCCCTGTTCAATTTCTGTTTTTTTTTTTTACGTTTTTTTGTACATGTTCAAGATTTTACTCTTCATACACCCTTGCCATGAGAGCTAAACAAGGGCGCCACATAGCCACTCTAGCTCATTAAGTACCAACATAATGCATCACAGACGATGGTTCCTGTGTGGATTGTCACTTGAATTTCACATTTGGCCATCAAAGCCCCTGCTCACTGGATGAGTAATGACTGTTACATCTTTGTTTTTGTGTCTCTCTTTCTCTGCGTTGGTTTGTTTCTCTCCTTTTCTGTCTTTCCTGCAGGGTTTTCTGCTCGTAGGCCGACAAATGGAGGGCCTGTTAAACGCAAACAGCCTAAACGACACTGCAACGCTGATTAAAGAATACTGTGCCAATTTTTGTACTGTAAAAAAAAAAGGGGGTTTCTTTCTTTTTTTATACCACTTAACAGTTCTGTTGGGCTCTGCAACTTTGTGTGTAGCAAGTTGGAAATGTTTTGTTCTGATATTGTTTTTGCTTGTTGACGATACTTCCAAAAATGTACAAATGAACCATTATGATTCATAATGTGTGCACTTAGTGTATTGAACTGCCTCATTGTGAATGCATGACAAAGAAATTAATATAATCAAGAAATATACTGTACTGTGTTATTGTTGCAGTTTAAATGCTTTTATTAAGGTTATATATTTGCAAGAAAATGCGTATCATTGATTTAAAAAAAAAAAGTTCTGTATTAAAACTGTCAACTTCACCTGTTGGGAATGTGTAGGGGCTGGTAAAACTATTATATTTTTGGGGATTTATTATTCACAAAGGCTAAAGTAGATGAAGCTAAGATGGCAGAAGATGTACAGGCATGCAGATGGCAAAAAGTATATGGATAATTTAGAAATCAAGATATCATGTGGACTAGTCACCAAGTTATGAAAAAATATTTTTTTGGTCTCTGCTTCAATAGGTAGAATTTGATTTACCAATCAAGTTATCAGCTCCAGACAAAATACTATTTAGTGGAACATTCATCCTGTCAGGTTTTCATGTCTCAGCTGGAGCTTTTAAAACTAATCAAACAGAAATCTGCTTAAAAATCAAATCCACACGTTTAAATTTATTATAGGGTCTTGAGATTTTACTGTTGTGTTCAATAGGGTACAATGTGTAAAGCTAATGATGAGGGAATAATTATCCCAAAGAGTACAGTTTTGAATCTGAAATGAATAAAGTAATGGAAAAAGTTAAAGGGTAATTGTTTGAATATGTTAAAATCTAACAGATTTTTAATAAAATGCTCTATGATGAGGATGTTGCAAGATTGTTTTTTCTTAAATTCAGTCATTTAAATTTGTGTGCAGTTACCATACTTGTCCTGCGTAGTGTGCAAGTCTGTGTGGCATCACGTCTTCAGTCATGTTACCTTAGCGGCAGCAAATTCTTAGCCCCTCAGCAATACTTGGATGTTTGTTTGATATGCTGTAAAACAGCATCTATTGTACTGTATTTAGCTCTTGGTAAGCCCCTTTTTTGTATTGCTGCACATACATTTGAAACTGCAGGCTGCTGACGTCGATTACATTTTATACAGTTTTTGCATTTTAATGTGTAGACGTCTTGTGAGCAAGCCCTTTGGCAGTTTCTCATTTGCTTAATTGTCCTTGATTGGCAAGACTCCTGGACATGTAACACAAACTAGATATGTTAGGAATCCATCCAGTGTGCTGTGAGGTTTAACAATATACCAGACAAACCTTCAAACTAGGTGTACATCGTAAAGTAAATGATGGTATATCCTGCACCTCATAGCTAGATTTCACAGTTTAAAGGAGGGCATAATCATCCTGAAACTATTTTCCATCATGGCAACAGTCATTCAGGGGAATACATTTGGTCAATTGAATTACACAAGCTAACCCCTTCACTGTAAACCCAAACAGTTCTGAATACTGAAAAAACTTTTGTGGAAAGAGATTGAGCAAGTTATTCAGAATATTTAGTTTGAAGTACTCGCATGTCTTGCATCATGATTTCAATGCTGTATAAAGTATAAGTACTTCAAACTGAAATATTGTAACTTCATCCATCTATTTTCTGTCACGCTTTATCCCAGCTGGGGTCATGAGGGGTGCTGCTGCCTATTACCAGCTGTCTACGGGCAAGAGGCGGGGTACACCCTGGACAGGTCGCCAGTCTTTCGCAGGGCGACAAACAACCATTCACGCTCACACCAAAGAGAATTTAGAAGAAAAAGCTATTTAACCTAACAGTCATGTTTTTGGACTGTTGGGGGAAGCCTGAGTACCCAGAGAGAACCCAAGCATGCTCAGGAAGAACATGCAAACTCCATGCAGAAAGAATTCAATTCCCAGGCCGGGATTGAACCCGGAACCTTCTTGCTGCAAGGCAGCAGTGGTAACAACTGTGTCAATGAGCAGCCATATTCTAACTTCATTACTCAAAAACATTTGGGTAATCCGTTTCCAAAAATTGAGTATTCTGAACTTAACTTTAAGTAAAAGAGCAACAGACTACTGTATAAACTAAACCAGGATGTTTTAATGAACTTGTGAAATGCAAACCAAACAAAGAACTTGGGCTTTTACTATTAAGGTTCAAGCCATAAAATCAGCTTTGGGGTGGTTCACAGCACTTTGAAGTAATCAAGAGAGATGTTAGACATGTGCATGGAACAGACACTCTAAATTGTTTTTACATCAACAAACCTATGAACTAGCCTCAAATTATACTCCTTATTTTTGATACTTATTTTTTTTAAGAGCAAAAATTTCAAAATACAAGGGATGTCTTTAAATGTGCTGTTACAAAGAATTTAGTGCCAGTTAAGGTTTTATGATTTTCTTTTCTTTGCTAACTGCATCCCCGCTGTAGCAATTCTCATCGAGCTAGAGAGCTTTTTTCCTCAATGTTCTTTAAAAAATGGCTGTTTCATGGCAAAACATTGAGGGAAGCAAGCGGCGCTGCCCTGATCATATCAGACAGCTGTCGACTCGCACGTTCATCACAAATAAGGCTTTTAAAGAAAAATGCATTTGTAGCATCTTTAGTTGTCTGCGTCTTGCCTTACATTACCTCTGTGTCAACATCACTTGTTTTCCTGTGATAGAAGAGAGATCCCACTGCCTATTAAAACAAAAAAAAACTGTCGGTATGGGTATATGTCTGCCTAATTATGTTTTAAAGATCCGATCCAGTTTTCACATCTTTGAGTGGATATAAACTCACTTTTTTGATCATTTAATTTTGAATATTAATTGAATAATCTTAAAACGAAAGACAAAGACATGAAACGTGGACTTGTGACTGCCAAACAAGCCTGCAAATAAAGTTTTATATGCCATTTAGTCCACGTAGAGTGTAGAGATCGCCACAGGTAAATCTAATTGTTTTAAAGGAGTTATAAGACATTGTCTCAGTAAAGTGCATTGAGATGATGTGTAATTATGCTATATACAAATATATAACTGCAATTTACTGTAAAGTGAATCAAAATTATCCTAATTTTTCATCTGTGATAAAAATTCCCATGGTTGCTCATAAGAGTGCAGCACTTGGTATTGTTTGCAAAAGAGCAGCATTTAAACATGGAAGCTGGCATGACAAGTAACCCAGACTTAATAACTAATTCAATTCAAAATTCAGCTTAAAAATACTTTATTAACCCAAAAGGGAAAAGACGCAGTTATTCATGGACAGTCTTTCAATGAGATGTTGTAGGTGTTGATTTCTGTAGCGGTATTAATAAGCTTCGGTATCCTTCAAAATAAACAACTTTCTGTGGCTCAATCATCTTGAATTTGGCAGCTACATTGTTCCAACATAAAATACCAAATGCTGTTTTGGCAACTCTGGGAACTCTCATATGATTGGCCCAGAAAGCAGGATGCAACAAGGGTTATACACTGAACTGAATGGGTTCTAATGCGTACCTCTAAGTTTGAAAGGGAAAAAAAAAAAAATGTCGAGGGAGAGTACTGTACTGTTTAAAGTGAATGTTATTTTTATTCTGGGTGAGAAAAAAAATGATTTTGGTATATTTTGCAGTAAATTTCTTACTTTGCTTCTTATTTCTCCTGTAATTTCTAATCAGTTTGTTAATTTGCTGCTTTAGTTGGAGGGGAATTTCATCAAAAATGTGCAATTTCTTTTTTTCTGTAACTTGATTTGCAATACATGTAGGTTTTACAAAAAATACACTAAAGAACAGTTCACTACCATCAAGGTATTGCCTGTGAACCATCAAGGTTCACAGGCAATATTAAATGGTTACTCAGCCCTGTGGATATGATGCTACCCCCACCCAAAGACCCCATTTGGTGAATGACCACATAAAGGTTTTCAAAGTCACTATAGATCAGCATTCAAGATGAAGCAATTTGGATCCCAAGAGCAGTCTATATTAATGATAACCAGAGCCATGTACCACGTATCACCAAAGTGAGGGTGGATCTGTCTCATCTTTGAACTACGATCGATAATCCGGATAGATGGAGATGGCTTGACAAGAGGGTTAAAAGAAGTGGCTTGTATTATTGGACAGAAGTAAAATGAACCCAAACGTGAGAAACGGCTTTAAAGCAGAAGGACATCCTAATAATGTAGTCAATGAAAAAACAGACCTATGGAAAGATCTAGGAGTGAGTTCTCTTAAGCATTAATGGAAAGTCAATCAGTCCTTCCTCTACAGCTTGTCCATCAGGGTTACTCTCCCCAGCCGTCTACAGGCTAAAGACAGGGTACACCCTGGACAGGGTGAAATGTTGAAACGGAGGAGGGCACACATTGAAGTGCGTTTTTCAACTCCTGGTTCTGCTGAACATTGACTGTTTGAGGGTGGACCTCTGAATGTACCGGTAGTTAGGATTTGACACTGAGAGCTTAAAACTAATATATATCTGTTGGGATGCCAGGCACACTCAAAACATTGATTAGCAACTTGGATTTTTCTCCACCTAAAAGCAATTCAATGACAGACTTTTAAAAAAAAAAGGTCCGTTCTTTTCGGTGAACCGAGAGGTAATTGGTTAATTAAAAGGATTTGTTATAAAGATTTATCAAATCCTTTAGTTCCAGCAACAGTGTTTTGTTTTTTTGTTGTTGTTGTTGTATGCATGCAAACCTTAGAACATTACAAGTGTTTTAATCCACTTTTCTAGTTTAAATGGGAAATAAAGTTCAGATGGACTTATCAGAATCTCAACTGACCTTGTATTTATAAGCTCTGGCAACAGGAAATTAGTTTAAAGGGACAGAAAATGTAACAATTATCACTATTGGGTTAAATAAAATTTCTATATACATGTATGTATATTGTATATTCCAGATTACATTTTTCCTAAATAATTTTATTGCTGTAGTGCTGTATTTGATGAAAGGGCAATGCCACTCAGATTTTGGAGGATGGGTGGTGATGAAATCTATTGCAATGTTGAAAAGTTTTAGATCTGAAGAAGGTATGTGGTCATGCAGAACCTAGGCCAACCCCAGGAGCTCAATAGATCATCTGAGAACGGCTGGAAGATGGGAAATGAAGGCGATATACGGGGACCACCTCATTCTAGGAAGAAAAATCCCAAAATAAGAGTCCAATCTCCCCCAGTCCTACATCATCAGGGCTTTCATCTGAGATTTTATCAAGAAAGAGAATTTTAATTAATATTTTTCATATCAGATTGGCTGGTTAAATTAAAATGAGAAAAAACTGATATCAATGTACCTGGAGAGAGTTAGTGATTTGCAGATTGTAGGCAGGAGAGGTTATGTTCCATATAACTGATTGCTAAGGAGTTAGGGATAACTAAATTAAAAGTAAATTGAGTTGTTAGTTGGGGAAACACAGAAGAAAGAAAAAAAATGTTTATCATAGTTTTTGGGAACTATGAAGTTAAGCGTAAAGGGAGCCGCCATTCAAGATTATGACAAAAACAGATGATGGGTTGATAATGTTTATGATCCAAAATTAATACAACATTTAATACAATTTAAATGTATAGTAAAAGCTGTTCACATGGCTTTAAGAGAGCTACTAAGGTGAAAAAGGAATATTAAAACTAGTGACGAGGACTTGTATTGAGCCTATGTATGATGTCAGTAGTCAAACCTCTGCATTTCTCTGCATACTTCGCTTCCATGTCTGCCTGTTTGACTGCAATTTTCAGTCATTCAAATTCATTGTTGTTTATGCCAAAATATCCTCTTTTATTCAAGCAGGCAATAACAGTAATGGCCATCAGACAAGTTTCTATATTTACAACAGATTAATGAAGTTGTAA